GGTCCCCCCAGAAGAGCTGGAGGAAGTGTGTGTGGAAAGGGAGGTCTGGGAGTCCCTGCTTAGACTGCTGCCTCCGCGACCCGGCTCCGGATAAGCGGAAGAAAATGGAATGGAATGGAACATTTGAATACATACATTTGAAGCCTGATAAGACCTCAAAATCTGTGCCAACTTCTTACTTTTTACTCTTGAGGCACATTTTTAAAGGGGTACTTAAATACTGTTAATTAAGTTGATTTTTCATGTGATACTTTTACTTTTACTTGACTATTTTGTTGCTCTGGGATTTGTACTTTTACTTAAGTAACACAATTGAGTACTTCTTCCACCACTGTTGAAACTGCTCCCATAAGACTTGACCAAACACAATGCTGTCATTTATACGTAATTGTAATAAATAATAATAATAATACAGCACTTGTGTAGCTATTTCCGTGACACTCAGAGATGCTTCACAAAGTTCAAGACAAAACACAAATGAAAGAGACAGATAAAAAGAAGATGCAGTTATTTGAAGGCAATTGAATGAACAATTTGAAAGGTCAAATAAAGAAGGCTGTAATTATTGAAGTATGTCCGCTGCAAACAGCACATTTCCCTTCTTATTCAGTTGCCTTGTAGTTTAGATCTTTACAAACATGTTCTAAAATGGATATAGGCCTAATAATTCTAAGCAAATGAAAACTGAATTCTGTAAAGCGGGCAAAGGCTTTTTAAGAGTGAATATGTTTCTCTGCTCATCCAAGTAGCTTCTTCAGTTCTGACAGGGTTCTGATCGGTCACTGCCTTAAATATCTGCCTGAAGGGCGGAGATAAATACAGTGAAACTAGTTAAGGGGTAGGTGAAATCTGAACTTTTGTGAACACACAAGACTCAGATGCAGGGCAATTACTCAAACCATGCATGAATAAATAAATAGCCGATAATAATATCTATTTTCGAAGGTTGGTGATTCAAATAAATAAATAAATAAATAAATAACAGCTTAAGAACATCACTGGTTGAGCAAATTCACAAACCCAGAGGTTGGCAGTGAGATTCTAGCACTCGCAGATGAATGGTTTTGTTGTGTCCTTGGGCAGGACACTTAACCCACCTCGCCCCCATTGTCTGCATACACTGGTGATTGAATGTGTTTGTGAATGGGTGAGTGGTTCCTTGATGTGAAGTGCTTTGAGTGCCTTGAATTTGAACACTGTTATAACACAATTAAAAGTTAATGTAAATCAATTTTACCTACATTTAAAAATCATCCCTTCACCATCACACTTTAAACATCAACATCCCATCTTTGTAACTATGTTGTATTGCACTGAAGTTAAGACCTCTTTATTCACACTTTGCCTTATTACTATTCTGATCACTTCTCTTGTGGGGCCCTCTCCACGTTTCTCCTCCACACTCAACACTTACATCACCAACATCACCACGGCGCCTCAGATCAGCTGAAAACACTACTCCCAGAACTATCGCCATGTTAACAACCCAGACAATTTCAAGGTCTTTTGTCTTCTTTGTTGCATTGTTCTAGGGAAACCAACTTCGGCAGGTCTGAAAGCTCTCAGTAGGAGCTTTACCTGTCAATGTTATGATGGCTTAAACTGTACATCCAGGAACTATAAGGGACGGACCAAAGCTTTGATGTTCCATATGGGTCATCCACTTTGAAGGGGAAAGTAAAAGATCAAACGCAAAAAAGCTAGTTCAATACAGGACAAACTTAAAAAGAAGTTGTAAGGCTAAGTCAGGTATTTTTAAATGATGATATGAAAATTATTCATGACATCACAAGGTGGAACAGAGCATTTTAAGCTTTGGAGATGTAATATTGCTTGTGTGAATGAAACTAAACACAAATCCAGGTATGTTTTTGACAAGATAACAGCATTCATACATGGCTTAAAGCTCACAAGAGTCAATTTAGTGAAATATAGGTTCTTTAAGACCTAGTTTAATCCTGGTTTAGGTCAAAACCAGTGGCAGCTGCATTACTTGGTGACAGAAGCACAATAACAATCAAAAACAAAAGCAAAAGCAAATTTAATATCATTATAAAACTATATTTGGGTAATGTATAACTTATTCTCTTATTTAAACTGCTGATGTAAGTTTGTTTCTTAATGATTCAGATAGCAGGTCAAAAGTCAGTCTCGGTACCGGTAATATGTAAAATTACAATTCCTGGTTGTATTACTATCACTAACCTAAATATTTATGAGAATTATGACAAATAACGTCAATCTTACAGAGCAGAAAAAGTCCAATAGATCCAGCAAAAGGTATGTTACAGTGTTTGTCAAACTAAAACTTCACTTCTGCTGTGTAAAATGTATACTGTCAAAAGGTGCTGGTTGAGTTTCTGTTTTTTGAATCATATCTGGATGAGGAAGCAGTAAAAATGAGATAACTGTGTGTCCAACTGATTTACAATCACCACAGTGTGCTAACAGTCTACGAGATTATATTTGTTTTACAGGTAGGTCTGGCCCGTAGATAAGTATAGTGTGTTACGAAAGTATGTGAACAGAGTAAAAGGGGAAAATAGCAAAGGGAAAAAAAGCAATGTAAAAGCTCTATAGAGTGTGCAGACCTCAATATTCTAATTCTAGTTGCTTCAAAACATGCATGTTATGTCCAAATCGCAAAATATGTCAAAACATCATCCATAAATTACTGCAATGTGAGCATCATTTATTCAAGTCATACATTTCATGCAATTGCAAACCAAGTTAAAATCTCTGTAAAATGTTTAATATTTAGGTAAAGTCACAAAGTGCACAAAAATGAAAGATCCAGTTAGAAAATTCAAATTATTAAACCTGTATCTGCAACAAAACTTCTCACAGTTCTATTGCCCTTGTTCAGCCTCAAAATGCTACTAAACGACACGCATTTGAGAAAAAGGTTTCCCAGCTAAAATATGATATAAAGTAGATTGATTTTTATAAAATGTTCAATGTTCATGACCACCAACAAGCCAACAATTCTCTGGGAGGCTTTAAAATGGCTTTGTAGTGTATAAAGGACTGATTTGCTGTCAAGAGCTGCAGCCCCATGCAAAATAATACAACCCGAATCACAATGGCTGTGCTCATGGCAGCTTCCAGAATATGGTGAATAGAGACATTAAACATGTACAAGTGTTGCTTGCACTATGCTTTGATCAAGCGGTTGTGGGGTGGTTAAAGGACCCATTTTACTCTATTTTCTGATCTATGTTATAATGTTGTTTTGTTTTCTTATCACAAATATACTCGGAGTGTGTTTTGTTTCATTTGCACATTGAGCACAAACCCTGCGTATTTAGGTTGAGTTCAGCGTCCTGACATCATAAGGTAGAACAGAGCATTTTGACCTTTGGAGATGTATCCAGACTAAAAATAAAGAGTTACTCAAACACGTGTGAATGAAGTCCAGGTATGCTTAATATAGGACCTTTAATGTAGTCCTTACACTGCAAATATTGAGAAGCTTTTTGCATTTACTTAATTTTGCATAACATTTGTTTCACAAATGTGGTTGTCCAAACCCTTTTTTGCTTCCAAAATATTCAGTACACCTGTTATCATACTTTAAAATAGTCATCTTTCCTTTTGATTCATACAGGGCATGCTATTCATTGGAAATATTGAAAATAATACACACAACAAATCAAACAATTATTTGACCAATTTTGAAATCATAATTGATAAAGCATTTTGGATGAAAGGTAAACTGTCTTCAACTAAAAACCTACACCTTAAACAACAACTTTTTGAAACATTGGTAGTCCAAATGAGCAACAAAATATGATATCTGGGTTTCTATTTAAAGGTGCATTGTATAACTTTTCTAGTGGATGGTCCGACAAATGATTTTTCTCCATGGAGATGTTGTTGCTTTGTCTGGAATGTTTCACAGTATGGCATTAAACTTTATTAAACCTTTCTATTTTCAAGGAAACCAAACCAGACCAGACCAAGTTACAGGTAAGATCTGTGGAGAGGCGACCCTGCTTACAGTCAGAATGCCTGTTTTTCTAGGTATTTTTGAGCTATAGAACTACCTGTAATTTAATAAACGTAAAACATAACTGTTTAATATCATAGTGTGGAACATTTCAGTAATGACATACTCATTGAAAAGCATCTGAAAGACCTTCTACCAGAAAAGTTAGATGCATGCTATGCATCTTAAAAAAAAAAAGAAAAAAGAAAAAAAAAAGCTATAAATCTGTATCTTTGTTGCCCACACGTGTTATTCCTGGAGCAGGTGAAGTCCATTTGTGGAGTGGCAGTACTGGTTTAGTGGAAAGGACAGAGTCAGTTTACATAGGAAGGCACTCAGCGTTTGTCATCAAAGATTCACAGTAAAACCAATGACACTGTCCACTGCTGCTACATTATGTACTGTGTGGAGTGGTCATCCAGTGGTCAATGACAGGTGAAAAAAATATGAACAAAACAAACCAAATATAGGAAACGAGATTTTAAAAGCAAGAAATGTGTTAAGGCATTTAAACAGGTGTAAAATAAATAGTTATTGACAGAAAGGATGTGCAAAAAGCTCACAGTAACATATTTTTTGTTTCTTTAACAATGGCAGTACAATTTTACTTATATTATTTTTATTATTTTGGTTAAAATGTGACTGAAATGAGTCATTAATGCTACGTGTAATTATGTATTAATTTTTAGAATGTATATAAGTCATTTGGTCTAATGTCCAAAGTGTCATTAATTACATTATGCTCTATTGAAAACAAGTCAAAAAGCATATAAATTTTATCTCACGTTGTGTAAAGAATAAGCTTAGTCTTAGCAAATGTAAACTGTGAATTACAGTATAAAACTCTTATAACTGCTTATTATTCCTTACTCCTTATTCATGTTGTAAAAATGATATGTGTGATACTTCTTCATCACTTGATCTGATCACAGTGAATCCAGTATTTAAGTGTCTCTTATAATTTAATATAGAAACACTTGTCTGATCCTCATGCTCAGTAGTTCAGTAACAGTTATAACAGTTTTTTGCTGGGTTGTGTCTGTCCGTTCAGCTGGCAGGGCCCTGGTCCATTGGCGTGCTCTTTGCTGCACTTGATCCGGAGCAGCACGTTGGTCAGGACGTCCTGGTACAGGCTGAGGCACACCCACCCGGGCAGGTACAGAAGTGTTACCAGCCCCATGAAGTGCATGGGGTAGTGCGAGTAGTCCCAGGAGCACGCCCCAAACTGTCGGAGCAACAGCCCCCAGCTCAGCTCCCAGCTGTAGGCCACACACACGTAGAGAGGCAGCCTCCTCAATGTGCCCCAGCCTCGTGTGAAGTGGAGATGCAGGTAGAGCTTCTCCACTGCAAAACTACAGCTGCCATACATCATGAAGGACCACAGTGAAGTGTGTCCGCTCAGGCTGTGGTCTGCCTTCTCCACCAGGTTAAACATAGATGTGAACACCACTTCATCCACAAGACCATGCATCCCAAAAAACAGGAAGTGGAGGAACCCTGGCAGGCCCTGCGGAGGGCCCCTGCTCTTCACAGGAGACACGCTTGAGGGTCCATACTGAAGCTGGGACAGACCTCTGTGGAACACCTGAGAGAAGTACAGGGCCAAGAGGTACTGCAGCAGCAGCTGAGACAGCAGTCCAAAGGGGGGCATGTGAGGGGACAGACGGGGGACTGGCTCCTCTGAGCTCCACTATAAGGACCACAAATGAGACAAAGGGTTAACAAAGGAACTGGAGCAGTAGTCCAATATAGTGACTGGTGAGGGACAGGCCAATTTGGATAGGCTATTCATTCAAATTCATTTAGAGACAAATAAAACGCATGCATGTTTTGTTTACCATTGAGTTTTTGTGAACAAATTACGCGTAATTGCGTTAACAAATAAGACAACAATAGGGTTTGTAAGTCTATATCGTCTTTCTTACCGTGAGAGCATGAATACCCCCGATGAGAACCTGCAGTCCGATGTAGATGGAGGGGTACACTACCATGTGAAAGAGCACAGGCCGCCCTCGGAAGCTCCTTCTTTGCGCATACAATTTCTCCAGAGCCAGATGGCTCAGTGAGTGCGCAATGCCTAGATACACCGAGGAGAAGCCCAGCAGCTTCGGGTCGCGGTCTTTGAAGACCCCTTGAAGAGAGGACAGCAGAACGTCCAGGGTCACACCGTGCATCCCGTAGAAGTATAACCGCATCCAGCGCGGCAGCTCCCGCAGAGCCTGTGCCGCGGACCCCGGCTCTGAAAGCGAGCGCGTTTGGAGAGGCATCACCGCTGCTCTGGACCGGACACACACTGTGCCTCTCCGCCGACTGGACCCCATCTCCGTGTCCCGAGCGTCTCACTGTGTTGTCATTGTGTTGTTTAGCTGAGGCTTCAGCATCCCCAGCCTCTGCCTCTGCGATGAGGCGTTCAGGGGACCGGAGAGAATATCCTACTTTACCGTGCCACAAACTATAGGCTAACACGTGTTAAACATCTACAACCAACGTCCTTAGTTATAGTGAAACTGTCGGTCAGACAGAACATCATTTTTAATCAGAGAGAGAAAAAAAATCTCTACTGCCTTATGAACGTCTCTACCAGCTCTGCAGAAAAAGCTTGGAGAGTTTACATTTCCCAGAGCTCATGAATGTCTCACGTCTCTTTAACTACTGCTGTACCTTGCGGAGAGAGGAGTGAGCAAATTTAAGATTACAATTCCTCCCCCTCCTCCACATCATCATCAACTATCGGGTGAAAATGTGGCAACCAGAATATGCTCTGACAGGCTCGAGTTTAATGTTCCAGAGAGACTCTGATAAGATAGTATCGGCATGGCACGGCCTAAGAAAAGACTAGGCCAGGCCTACATGAGAGTCAGCGCATAAATAATGCCACTGGCACCAGTTTAGTGATAAAGCCATGCTTCTTTAGTGTCCCTCGTTTAAAAGCTTCCAATAATGTTGGCCTAATACAAAGGTGCACCGACAGAGGGCGATGTTCTCCATGTTAAAGGTGGAAGTGGTCTAGGCTACTTCAGCCCATTCAGCCTGATTTCTTTAAGTAACTATTAGGATCACTACTTGACAGTTAACTTTGACAATTATTTTCACGCATAATTATGAATAGAACAATAGGCCAGTGCTATTAAACATGGAAAATAAACGAGCTAGTGCTAAAACACACAGCACAGTTATTATTAGGCTGTTTTGACAGAGGCTGGTGTTTAGATTTTTTTATGTGGATAAAATTAGATACATGTTTCTACAGTCTGTATCGGTCTCTTGGCATCCATCATAAATCAAACTAGGTACATAAGTATATTGGCCTGAATAATTTATTTATTTTAGATCGACTGATTTAGAATGCACAATTTCAGTTCACCACTAGATGGAGGCCTTCGACCAGTTGCCTTTCCATGGGTGGGCCCTTGCACTTGTCCATTCAGAAACAAGACAGTCATATCATTTTCCATGGCATGAATTCAATTATTTAAATGCCCTATCTCTCTGTATCTCCGTGTTTTATTCTGGGACTTTATAGCCTTTGCAGTGGAGGTTTAGAGGTCAAATACACAGTCTACTAGATTAGGGTGCTTTATTGTCTCATGGTTTATCAGATTTCCAGAAGATGTTTTTAATAAATCCAAATGATGCTTTGTTTGTTTGACTTGCCGTAGCACCCAAATGGTCAATATTCTTGTAAATAGGGCTTTTAAATGCATTATGGCTTAATGGCCTGTCTTTGGCCATTTTAAAGGTGTACTATGTTACTTTTCTGAAGGGTACATCACCTGCTGCTCTCAAAACAGATGTTATTTCTTTGCCTGAAAGGTGCCATAGTATCACATTTAATAATCTATCTTACATACATTTGTGTTTCTGTTCATACATTTGTGTCACAAATACATTGAGAGTCTTACTGAGAGTGGGTTCACCTCTCCACAGATCTGCCAGGTGGGGGATATCTGCTCATCTCTATGGCAATAAGACATGTCAACTCCATGGAGAAAAGCAGGTGATGCGCGAACCCTACCAGAAAAAAAAATAAAAAAATGCATAGTGCGCTATTAAGCTGCTAATATGTTCCCATCAAATCCATATATTAGCCTTATATCATTTTGTAATAGGTCTTAGATAATAGTGTATGGCTGACTGATGTGATTCTATTGCCTGATGTCCATGGAAATGAATGTACATCTGCAGCAGTGCACTTCAAAACGCCAGCCCTCAAATGTAATTTCAGAAGCCATTTCCTCCAATTGAGCTGTTATTGAATGGACTGCTGGCCTCATGCTTTCAAAATGCCCCATATCGTAAGGTTGACTAGGGTGACGCGTTTTCGTGACTGGTCAATACACAGATCAGGTTACCATGTTTTCTTGTCTAAAAATAGATATTCAGAATTTAATTACAGACAGACAATACACAAAATGATAATATCTTGGGTTTCTGTGGACTGTCCCCCCTCCAGACATTGGATAACGGACTGACTGGAGATATAGATGATTGTTCCCAAAAGCAGAGCTGCACAGTTCCCTAGAGCACTTCCTGTCTCGTTAGGAATTCTGCTCCTCTCTCAGGATGCTCCGAGGGGACAGAGGGTCACACAGCAACACGTGCCCCACCTCACCCCCCTGCACTTAGCCACAGTCTGTGTGGCCCTGGAAAGGAAATGAAATGAAATAGCAAAAAAGTTCTGTCCCTGGGCTTGACGGTGAAAGGGCATAGCCTGCTCCAATATGTGGTTTTACATAAATGGGAACATTGCTGTAACATCCCCAGTATATTACAAAAAAATTAAAAAGATAGAAAATCATGCATTTTAAAATAAAAGGTAAGTACAATTTTAATTTCAAACTTCATAAACATACCAGTGTCCCCAGATTCAAGGTAAGCATGCTGAAATACTGCTTTTACTGCATTTGTGTTCACTTATTCTTAGAATAAAGAGAAATTAGAAATTAATGGCCAAGTTGTTGATGTTGTTCACTAAAGCAACCCCAGCACCTGCAGACGATCATTAGTCAGTGCTATTGCAACCTCTACAGCTCAGTGAGTGAAATCTGGAGGTTTTTAACTTTCACATGATGCATGGACTTTCCATATACTGAGAATGCGTATGTCTTCGAGAGCCATAGAAGTTTCTATTGGTTTACTTTGGAGTGTGTTAAGTCAACTGTACCAGCCCATTTGAGGGACCCAAAGCAGGAAACTGTAGAAGTACCTTTCAGAATGGTGTGGCTCACTTCAGCTCCCAGATGCCTTTAACTATAAGGAGTTAAAAGGATAAATTAAATTTGTCAACTGGACAACGTTTATTTGGTCGAATACATTTTTGCAGCTCATCCAAGCTGCTTCTTCAGTTCTGGACAGCATGGATGAGCTGCGAAATGTATTCAACCAAATAAACGTTGTCCAGTTGACAAATTGAATTTCTCCTTTGCCATGGATTCTACCTGAACAGCTGAGGGATTTTCCACATATAAGGAGTTAAGCTACACAGAGCAGAGAGATGATTGGATGGGCACTGAAAACTCAGGGTCAGTTTGTGATTGCAGTTCCTTTTTAACCCTTTGAGCACTAATACACAGGCAAATATTTACTAATATGCAAATAAACAACACTTTATTGATGATTTAATAACGCCTTTCTCCACATTTTTTTTTCAAGAGTTACAAAGACCCCTATTTGAACATATTTTATGCAAATAATGTGAAATTATTTATTGAAGACAGAAAAACAAACAAGACCATATTAAAATTGTATGATGATTTATGTAAAACAGTAAACATGAGAAAGAAAAAACCTGGGAACTGGTATAGTCAAAGGTGTAACACTCCCTCCTCCTCACTCTCTCTCCCTCTCTCTCTTCAGAGCTCAAAGTCCCAGTGGATCTTTTACTATAATTAAGCATGCTTCCCTCCTTCCCTCTCTATCCTTCACTCAACTATCCTCTGTCGCCTCATGTTTCATCTCATCTCTCTCTCTCTCTCTGCTTTTTCACATGTAACCTCTGTGACCTTCCTCTTAACCTTGTCATCTTCAGTGACCTTTGCAGTGGCACCTCTCTGCATCCATATAACGCCTGCTGCACTCAGAGCCCTCACCACCCATACCGGCCATATTAGACCAGGCAACCTTATGGAATAGGAATATAAAGGGACATATGGCCTCCATTGCCTTGAAACTTGAGATAAAATCATAATCAACAGGTTAAAGAGGGGTATTACAATTCTATGGAGTATTAATTGCTAACACGTAATATATTTAGATCATCTAGATCCAATAACTTACTGAATTATAACATAAATGTGCATTTCAGCAATATTAATTTTAATTACGCCCCATCTGTATTAAATAATATTACCCTATGTTGTCATCTGAAGCCCAGTAATGCCGACTTATTAAGGTTTTGATTGACTATAAGGGAATTGTCTGAAAACATTTATTTCTAAACTAACAAGGCTTCATATCTTGTCTGTGATTACCAAATGCTTAAGGAGCTCATTCACTTGAAAAGAAGGCTCTTAAACTTAAGGACATCAATACAAGACCCATTTCCAACACACTACACAAATCAATATTGCCAGGCTTCATAAAACTGTCAAATGCACCAGGGCTCTAAGAAGATAACTGCTTTATTTTTTCCTCTTTATCTCACCTCCGGCTCTGCAGCTGTAATGTCCTCCCATCTGGATCCTTCTTGCTGGTGTAATCTTCTCCAAAGTTTAGCTCTTTCTTTTATCTCAACGCCCGGTCTTTTGTTCACCTTTCACCTTTGCTCGACCCAATTATTTCACTTCAATCTGCTCTTTTCTTTTTGTGGAGGGTTGATGTGGTTTCTTTTTCCCATTTTGAGTCACAGGAGTGGAAGGTTGGTGAGACATATGAGCATCTAAATTTCTGTCTCTAGATACAATGAAAGTAAACATGCCATTGTGTGCTCTAGCTTTCAATTTAAAATTTAAAATCCTTAATTCACAATTCTGTTCAACTAATGTATGACGCTGACAGTAAAAGTCACCAGAACAATATTGTCCTTCCACCAAATGCCCATTTTCTAATCTATTTTCTAATATTGGAATTGAAATCGTTACACTTTTCATGTCAAATCATGTTTATTCTACTAATGAAAAGCCTAAAGTGCATAAACAAATAAGTACAGTGAAACTATTGGGGTAAGTGGGTGTAGGAGCAGCTGCAGTGCCTTCTGGGACACATTAAGATCTGCATGAGCTCAAACCAAAACATGTCTCTGATAAGTTCTTGTAGCCATTATTGTTTTCAATTAGCATTAAAAGACCAGATCAAATGAGAATGTTGATGTGATTTTAATAGT